GCGAGGCAATTGTGAGACAATGGAACACAGTGTCAATCTAGCTAACAGGCCCTTCCTGAAGCCCTCTTATTTACATTGCTTAATTCAAATCAAGCTCCTTCCTGAAGCAGGTGTTTCTGTTTGAATCTCTTGGACAGAAAGGGGTTAGGGTCAAAAGTTCTTTCTGAGTCTTTTGTTTCTTAATAAACAGTTTAAAAGCAATATCCCCCAAAATGGAAGCGTCAGGGTGGGGAAACTGGTTCCCTTCCTTCACTTCAAACATTTGGTGAAGAAACAATACCGATCTGTAATTATAGATGAGGTAACATTGTCCAGCTCATTTGGTGAGATGAGTATAATTGTGATAACAAGCTCAAGTCAAGGATGTTATAAGAAAAGGAAATTAGACCAATATTCCTGTTAGCATATATGTGCAAAATCTTATAAATTTAGCACATCAAACCTGGTGTGCTAAATATACAAAAATGACCAAGTGAAGTTTATCCCTGACTGCAATGTTGATTTAACATTCAAAAATCAGTGTGAAGTGCCATGTTAGCAGATCGATGGATTTAAAATCCTATGATTGCCCTGGCTGATGTGGCCCATATGGTTGGGCGCCATCTCATGCACTGAAAGTTTGCTACTTTGATTCCTGTTCAGGTCACTTGCCTGGGTTCCGGCTCAATCCCCATTTGGGGAAGGAGGGTCATGCAGGAGGCAGCAGGTAAATGTTGCACTCTCACATGTGCTCCCACAGGGGAAGCACAGCTCAGCCAGAATGTTTCTCTTGTTTCCTCTCTATTTAAAAATCAATAAACTATTCTTTGAAATAAAAATCCAATAATCATTTTAACATATGCATAAAAAGCAGATGACATGTGCAGCAGCTATTTATGATTTTTTAAAATATGTTTTTATTGATTTTTAGAGGGAGAGGGATAGAGAGAAAAACATCATCAATCAGCTGCCTCCTGTACATCCCCTACTAGGGATCAAGCCCAAAACCAGTATGTGCTCTGACCAGGAATTGAACCCTTAAAGAAAGAAAAACCAACTTCCCAGCCAACTAAAAACAGGAAACTTACTCAGACTGATAAAAGTTACCCCCAATCAAATAACCATTAGCAATATTCATAACTAGAGGGTGGAGGGAGGGAGGTCCCTCCGCCTGACTTACACCCTTTCACAGTCCAGGAGCCCTCAGAGGATGTCCAACTGACAGCAGTTGGACATCCTTAGCACTGCTACGCTCGCCAGTCATGAGCCCAGCTTCTGGCTGAGCTGTGCTTCCCCTGTGGGAGCACATTGACCACCAGGGGACAGCTCCTGCATTGAGCCTCTGCCCCCCTGGTGGTTTGTGCATGTCATAGCAAGTGGTTGCATGGCCTTAACATATTAGGCTTTTATTATATAGGATAGTGACAGGCTTAATGCTTTTCCTCTAAGATCAAGAACTAAAGGATTCCATTCTCACCACTTCAGCAAGAAAAATAAGTAGCCTGGCCAGTGTTGCTCAGTGGTTGAGCATCAACCTATGACCCAGGAGTCAGGATTCGATTCCCGGTCAGGGCACATGCCAAGGTTATGGGCTTGCTCCCCAATATGGGACATGTAGGAACAGCAGTCAATGACTCATTGATATTTCTTTCCCTCTCCCTTCCTCTCTGAAATCAATAAAAATAATGTGTTGTTTTTTTTTAAATATATTCTATTGATTTTTGTACAGAGAGGAAGGGAGAGAGCTAGAGTCGATGAGAGAGAGAGTCATCGATCAGCTGCCTCTTGCACACCCCCTTCTGGGGATATGCCCGCAACCAAGGTACATGCCCTTGACCAGAATCAAACCCAGGACTTTTCAGTCCCCAAGCCAACGCTCTATCCATCGAGCCAAACTGGTTTCAGCAAAAATAATGTATTTTAAAATAAACATTATTATTGAAAAGGAAGAAATAAAACTATTTTACTCACAAATGACATGATTGTATACAGAAAAAAAAATTTAACAAAATTATTTTAAAATCATCAGAACTAGCAAGTGATTATAATAGTCACAGTTTCAGCTGAAATCGGTTTGGCTCAATGGATAGAGCGTCGGTCTGCAGACTGAAAGGTCCCAGATTTGATTCCAGTCAAGGACATGTACATTGGTTGCAGGCACATCCCCAGTCGGGGGTGTGCAGGAGGCAGCTAGTCCATGATTCTCATTGACATTTCTAACTCTATTTCTCTCCCTTCCTCTCTGTAAAAAAATCAATAAAATATATTTAAAGAAAAATAGTCACAGTTTCAAAGGCAGTATATATAAATTGTATTTCTGTATAATACGGTAGCAACCATTGAATCTGAGCTTAGAAAATGAATTTAAAATAGCGTACAAAACATGGCATATTCGGGGGTAATTTAACAAGTGATGGACAAGAGCTCTATATTATAAACTGCAAAATATTGCTGATGCCTGGTCAGTGTGGTTCAGAATCGACCTATAAACCAGGAGATCATGGGTTTGATTTCCTGTCAGAGCACATGCCCAGGTTTCTGGCTCAATCCCCAGTAGGGGGCGTGCAGGAGGCAGCCAATCAATCATTCTATTTCATTATTAATGTTTCTGTCCTTTCCTCTCTCTGAAATATATATATATCCTAGCAGGCTTTTTTTTTTTTATAGAAATTCACAAGCTGATTCCAAAATGAAAGAGTAGTACAAAGTTAAAAATTAAAGCTATAGGAGGATAACTAGTGAACAGAATACAGTCCAGGGTAAGACACACCAGTATAGTCAAATGATTTCCTTCCAAGGCCCCAAATCTGGGAAATTGTGAATCTGGGAAAGAGATTATTTTTCTTTTTATAGATTTTCTTATTTTGGAAAAATGCAGAGAAGTATGAGAATAACAACGCTCATATTTCCACCAAGTAATTATAACATTTTGTCTCTTTTGTATCCATATTTTAATTGCGTCTGGATAAGCTCTTTATTCCAAAAGGTTTCCTCCTGATGACTGACTGCTTCTTTTTGTATGTATGTTTTTTTATTACTGACTTCTGCGAGAAGAAGGGGGAGGGAGATAGAAACGTCAATGATGAGAGAATCATTGATCAGCTGCCTCCTGCATGTCACATTGAGGATCCAGCCTGTAACCCCGGCAAGTGCCCTGACTGGGAATTGAACCGGGAACTTCTGGTTCATAGCTGGACGCTCAGCCACTGAGCCACGCCAGCTGGGCTGTACCTACTTTTTAAAGAGCATTGAGAGTTTAGTTGCTAACAACTGACAGAAAGGGGGGCACCTATGGGCTTGGGGCTGACCCTCCAGGTGGGACTGACGCCTTGGGCCCACCATCCCAGGACAGCCCCTGCTGGCATGTTTACTGAACTGAGTTCCCTGAAAGGTGAACCAGCATTAATGGGGCAGTCCACAAAAGTCCCCCTCGCTGTCAATCTGCGGACTGAAAGGTCCCAGGTTCGACTCTGGTCAAGGGCATGTACGTTGGTTGTGGGCATATCACCAGTAGGGGGTGTGCAAGAGGCAGCTGGTCGATGTTTCTCTCTCATCGACGTTTCTAGCTCTCTATCTCTCTCCCTTCCTCTCTGTAAAAAAATCAATAAAATATATTTAGAAAAAAAAAAAAAAAAGTCCCCCTAGCTCACAATCAGAGTTCTCGCTCTAGACTAATAATATAGAACAAATGCTGTGGAACTATCATGTAAACAGAAGCATTTTTTAAGCTCTTACTATGTGCCAGGCACTTTTCTCAGCTATACATTTTCCATTATATGTAGGCTACTGCTGCTATTTTTTTTTTTAATTTTTTGTTAATCATCACCTGAGGATAGTTTTCCATTGATCTTTCGAGAGGAGGAGAGACAAAAAGAAAGGAACATCGATTGGTTGCTTCCTGCATGTGCCCTGATCAAAATCGAACCCAGGACCCTTCAATCCTCGGCTCACACTCTTATCCGCTGAACCAAACCGGCTAGGGCAAATCCAGAGATTTTTACTTAGGAGCCAGCCCAGCCCCCTTCCATAAAAGTCTCCAAAGTTTTTTTGATCACTGATCAAGACGGGACCCTGGCACTTCTCCCCAGTTCCCACTGGCCACTCCTTTGCCACCCCCTCTTACCTTCCTCCTTGTGGGTACATACGTAGTTACCCCCATCAGTTTTGGAAGTTCTGGCAGGTGATCCTTTGCCAGCCTCTGAGATGCAAACTTTTTGTTAGCTAAAATCTGTACCTGAAGATTAATCTGTCATGAAGTATGCATCTTACTCCAAACAATTCACTTAGTCACCAGTGAGCTCGACCAGGTGCGAGGTGTTATGCTAACACTATGATGAACAAGGTAACTTCCCTGTCCTGAGGCTGTTTGTATTCAACTAGACTAGAGGAAACAGATGCACAAATTAAAATAGGGTGATGGAGTTTGGCGAGTGGTCTGGGGAAATATCCCTGAGGAGGTTTCCAAGTTGAGGTCTGCAGTGATGGCACAACCAGCGTTCCCAGTAGAGGGAACCAGCAGTCAGGTGAACTGGGGAGTGTGAGAAGGGCAGCCGCAGCCAGAGCCTCAGGAAAGGGGGGATCTGGCAGATGAGATCAGAGAAGCAGGCAGGGGTCCTGGTCATGAGGGACGGAAAGCATACACTGCTACTTCCGGAAGCTTTGGGATGAAGGAGGTCCAGGGAGGCATCTTCCCCCCAGGTGGCGGGAGAGGGCTGAGCGTTACTGCATCCCTATCAGGAAGGAAGGCTTGTGGATTCATCGGTGGGAAGCTTGGAAGTCCCGCTCTGGTTTCTCTTTTTTTTTTTTTCTCAAGCAAGTGTGTAGTGAGGCTGGTGAGAGGTGGGCATGGAGCAGCCTGGGTTGTGATGAAAGATTGGAAGAAAGACGTGAGTGAGCCCTGCTCCTCAGGAAGTCAGGGGACTCCTATGTATCAGACCCTGATATGGTGTTGGGCGTGTTTCATGTTGGATCCTCACTTTTCCTCTCCCCACCGCAGCCACGCTGCCTTCCAGGGAGCTGCCATGGATGAGCCACCGTCAGAAGTCTCTAGCCTCCCTCTGAGTCAGGAGACATTTTCAGAATTGTGGAATTTGTGAGTAGAGGACCTATGGGAGGGACATGTTCACTGCCCACCTTCTGATAACGACCGCCTTCCCCTGCCTACTCCTCCCCCTCCTCCCCTCCCCATTCCCCAGCACCCTAGCAGTAAAGGCCTGTAGAAGGCAAGAACCAGGACTGACTTTCTGCTCTTGTCTTTCAGACTCCCTTATAGACTCAATGACAGTGATAATCTGGTAAGGACTAGGGATGGGGAGGGACCAGGGGCTATAGGGCCAACTGCCTGGGAACCCAGCTCTCTAACTCTCGCTTTCCTCGTGCACAGAATCCTGAAGACTCCCAGGCGTTGGGTGAACTGGACTGGATGCCCCAAGACCTCATAGACTGTCTGGACAGCGGTCCAAATGAAGCCTCCAATATGCCAGCAACTCCTGCACCAGCAGCTGCTGCCCCAGCGCCAGCCACCTCCTGGACCCCGTCATCTTCTGTCCCTTCCCATAAGACCTATCCCGGTAGCTATGGTTTCCGTTTAGGATTCCTGAATTCTGGGACAGCCAAGTCCGTAACCTGCACGGTCAGTGGCCCTGGGAGGCTGGCTTCCATATGACAGTTCAATGCCTGACCATATCCCCCCTCCCACTCCCCCACCCCAGGTTTTTCTATTCAGACCACTAGAACCTCTCTCAGCCTTTGGCTTGTCTTTCTACATTCTGCCTGTGTGGTCTGTGACCTTTGACCTCTGCCCCAAAGTTGCATTTTCTCCCTTGACCTTGGGCATCATACTCCCAGCATCCCTCAGGAGGCCAGGGAACTTTTCTTTCTCTCTGCACTCTCTTTCTCCCCCCCCCCCTCTCTTTCTCTCTCTCTCTCTTTTTTTTTAATAAAGAATTACTGTTTTTTATTTTTATTTTTTTTTAGATGAGTGATTTTCTTTATTATTTTTTTAATATATTTTATTGATTTTTACAGAGCAGAAGAGAGAGGGATAGACAGTTAGAAACATCAATGAGAGAATCATCGATCAGCTGCCTCTTGCACAACCCTTACTGGGGATGTACCTGCAACCAAGGTTTATGCCCCTGACCTGAATCGAACCTGGGACATTTCAGTCCGCAGGCGGATGCTCTATCCACTGAGCCAAACCGGTTTCAGCTCTGCACTCTCTTTCACTCCTTAGCTTTTGTAAATAAGCTTCTGGGACACGGGTCTCCAACTCTGCCATCCCTAGCCACCCTCCCCACATAGCACATGGCTTTCAGTTGGTGCTTAAGCAGTGCTTGTCCCCTGACCTCCCATCTGTTCTTTCTCCTTTTCCCACAGTACTCCTCTACCCTCAACAAGCTGTTCTGCCAGATGACAAAGACCTGCCCCGTGCAGCTGTGGGTCACCTCCCCACCCCCGCTCAGCAGCCGGGTCCGCGCCATGGCCATCTACAAGAAGTCGGAGCACGTGATGGAGGTCGTGCGGCGCTGCCCCCACCATGAGCGCTGCACTGAATACAATGACGGTGAGCGGTCGGGCTGCCGACGGGACGGGCAGGGCTGTGGCCCAGAGTCCCCAGGTGCCTGATTCTTTTCCTAATGTCCCGTAGATCTGGCTCCTCCTCATCACCTTATTCGTGTGGAAGGGAATTCGCGTGCGAAGTACCTGGATGACAAAATCCATCTTCGACACAGCGTGGTGGTGCCCTACGAGCCGCCTGAGGTCTGGTTTGGCAACTGGGGTCTCTGGGAGGAGGGGGCTAGGAGGGTTTGTCCAGGGCTCCCGAGCTGGGGTGCATGCGGAGCAGGAGATGGGAGATTGCCAGTCCACGGGTGCAGAGCTGGCGCTCTCAGAGGCCACGGGCGTCGGGGCTGGGTGACCTCACCGTGGGCTTCTGTTTTCTCCCAGGTGGGCTCCGACTGTACCACCATCCACTACAACTTTATGTGCAACAGCTCCTGCATGGGGGGCATGAACCGGCGGCCCATCCTCACCATCATCACACTGGAAGATTCCGAGTAGGGACTCGAACACCGCCCTCTGTGCTGGCGTGCCCCTCCCTGGCCCCTGCCTGTCTGTCGCCTGCGCCCTGCCCCTCCGCCATTTCCCCAGGACCACCAGCCACCCTTGCCTCTCCCATCCTATTTGTATTATAGAACCTCCTTGTTGCTCCCCAGTTTTCTTTTCTCTGGCTTTGCAGCCTCTGACCTGTGGCTTCTCCGTAGGCCTGGCCCCGGAGCTCAGGCCCCACATCGGGTGAAGGTGGGTGGGAGCGGGTAGGACCTGGTTTGCGTGCGGTGCCCACCTCTCACCGCCTCCCGCTCCTCTCCTTGCCTGGGCAGTGGTAACCTGCTGGGACGAGACAGCTTTGAGGTGCGTATCTGCGCCTGTCCTGGGAGAGACCGACGCACAGAGGAAGAGAATTTCCGCAAGAAGGGGGAGTCTTCTCTCGAGCAGCCCCCTGGGAGTCCCAAGCAGCCCTCCAGGAGCACTAAGCGAGGTAGTAAGCAAGCAGAGGAGGGAGAGGGTGTGGTTCTGCCCCAGATTCACCCTTTCTCACCATCCCTTATCTCTTCCCCAGCACTGCCCATCAACACGGTCTCCTCTCCCCCGCCGAAGATGCCTGTGGACGGAGAATATTTCACCCTGCAGGTACCACGTCTGGGAAAGGAAGACGGGCAGCCTCTTGCCCCTGCTTGGTGGGATTGGATGAGGATGTAACAGATGTAAATGTAGCAAGTGTGCGGGTAGGCCCATCTATCCTTTCTCTGGTCATGACCCACAGTCTTGAGATTAAGTTTCACCTGGAACATGTGGATGTGCCTGGATGAAGTTGCTTCCAACTTTGAGGGCAAGGACCGTGTGTGAGTCACCGCGGCAGCCCCAGCATCTAGCAAAAGTCGGCACCTTTGTTCAGGCTCCACATGTGCACTGAGGGATTAGTTGGAGGGAAAGGAACTTTGTTTACAGCCCTGTCAGAAAGAAGCCTAAGGGGCTTAGTAAAGGTAACGGTTTGCCTTCCCTATCAGTCAGGGAGCCATGGTGCCCTCTGGAAGCTGGCAGCAGCCATCTGCTGGTAACCAGCAAGGACATCTACTGGGAACTGAACTCTGCCAGTAATCCGAATGATGAGCAAAGAAATGGACTCTCCTTTAGAGCCGCCAGAAGAATGCATGTGCTGCCACCCGGGCTTTTTAGCCCTGTGAGATCTGTGTCAGACACACAAGATGATAGAGTGATGTTGTTTTAAGCCTCTTAAAAAAAAAAGATTTAAGCCGGGACCGGTTTGGCTCAATGGATAGAGTGTCGGCTTGGGAACTGAAGGGCCCCAGGTTCGATTCCGGTCAAGGGCATGTACCTTGGTTGCGGGCATATCTCCAGTAGGGGGTGTGCAAGAGGCAACTGATCAATGACTCTCTCTCATTGATGTTTCGAACTCTCTATCTCTCTCCCTTCCTCTCTGTACAAAAAAATCAATAAAAAAAATATATATTAAAAAAAAAGATTTAAGTTTCAAGTCTAGCATTCAAAAATGCTATTTTCTTCCTGGCTGCTTTCCCTGCAATTAGGGCATTTGCCATCAGGGGGCAGTGGTGCCTAGAGACAGTGGCTCCTGGTGATGTCTGATGTCAGGATGCCATCTTGTACCATAACCTACATTTTAAAGGATCATCTTTCAAAAGAAAATTTGTTAAAAGAGAACATAACAATGGTTCTATGACTTTGCCTAACACTCCATTTTCCCCCTCCTCCCCGCCACAGATCCGTGGGCGCGAACGCTTCGAGATGTTTCGACAAATTAACGAAGCCTTAGAGCTGAAGGATGCCCAGGCCGGAAAGGACCCGGGTGGAAGCAAGACTCACTCCAGGTGAGTGACCTGGGTCCCCTTTCAGCCCACTCCCCTGCATTCCTATGTTGGAGAGCCTGGGATTCCATTGTAATCCTGCCTTCAAGGTCAAAGACAACAGAATTCTCCCGTTGGGTCCTGGCCCTGCCTGGACTCCTTCACTCGTCCTCTAGTTGAATCATGTGACCACTTCCCTGCGTCAGGTGGAGTGGTCCACAGACCCCCCCTCAAGCCCAAATAGGAGCAAGGACACTTCCTTGCCATTTCTAGCCACCTCTGTCTCCAATCTGGGGTCCCCAGTAGGGGCCTGGTAACTGTAGGAGTGCCAGGCAGAGCCGGGGTGTGGGATCAAATCTTTGGCCTTCCTGAGAGCTAGCAAGTCCTTGGTGGCTTTGTTACTCCCCCTTATCGAGCCCAGTTTCCTCGTTTGTCAAATGGGATAAGGAGTTTAGTACAGACAGACAAGTACCCCCAGTGCTCAGTGAGCGTGTCTGCAGTTGATGGTGACTATTTTAACTTAAATTCCCCTTTGTCGAACCCCAGGCCCTTCAAAACCTAGAAATGGGAAGAGAAACCCTACCCCTCTCACTCCGATGATGTCATCTCCTCCCTTCCCTCTTCTGTCTCCACAGCCACCTGAAATCTAAAAAGGGGCCATCCACCTCCCGCCATAAAAAGAAGCTCATGTTCAAGAGAGAGGGGCCTGACTCAGACTGACACCCCTGCTTCTGTCCCCCACGGACACCCCCACCCTTGTCCCCCTTCCTGGCATATTTTTGGGGTTGGGAGCTTAACCCTCTGCTTGGTATAGATGTGCCTCAGAAACACCCCAGAATCCTGTTTGCCTGGCTGAGACCTCTACTCACTGCTGGGTTTTGGGGGAAGGTGGCGGGAACTCAGATGTTTCAGCTTAACTTTTAAGGTCTTTCCTATAGAGGCCATTTGGGGGAGGGAGGAAGATGTTTCTGCATGCAAGGGGTAAGTTTTAAATCAACACTGGGTTGGAAACTAGCCAGGGAAGTTATCTCGAGTTTAATTTCTCTAACTCCCTTGTCCACATGGACAAAATGCCGATAGTCATACCTGCCACACGGGGCTGACTGTGAGGGTTAACGAAATGATGGGTGTTTGGGACTAGGCTCCCTCAGGGGGGCCGGTTCCTGCCCCTGTCTGACTGGGCAGTTAGTTAAGAGAAGAAAACGTCTAAACCCTTCTCCACTGGCCTGGCCAAGGCCCGTCTGAAGTCAGGGAACCTCACCACCTAAAGGGAGATCTCAATGCCTCATCCCACCGCCTGGAGGGTCCCCTCTCCAGTGTAGGATCTGTATCTTCCAGGCTCTGTTTTACTTCCCGCAAATGCTCAGGTTCAATTCCCTCTAGGGTCTGAGAGGCACATCTGTATTCCTCACCCGCCCCCCTTCCCCTCTTCCACTTTTATACTACTTTTTTTTTTTTTATATTGGTTTCTTGTTTTACAATAAAACTTTGCTGATACCTGTGTGTCTGAGGGTGAGAGCCAGTGCCGGCTGCCTGGGGCCTGCAGGGCAGGGGTGCGTTAAGGAGGTGACACTGGGAAGCAGTCACCTGAGTCTCCAGGGAATGTGGGCTGGGGAGCCCCCACCCCCGGGTTGCAGGAGGAGAACAAAAGCTGGAGACTGGGTCAGTCTGCAGGCTGCATGACAACAAGGGTGGGGGTGAATCCATAACTCTGTCCCTCTCCCTTCCTGCCAGGGCTGGCACAAGGTCCTCTCCTGCCCCCTTGTCAGCCACTCACCACGGATTAAGGGATTTAAATGTCTAATTTAGCAAGCCTGAGCCTCTGGGGTGGCCATCTGCTCCACGGGAAAGGGGCAGGATACCTGAATTCCCCAGAGGACAGAGGGGGGGTTCTATTTGATAATGAGAGCAAGCAGCGGGAGGCCTGCCAGCCCGGGTCCCGGGAAGTGGGGGCGGCTAAGGTGAAGGCTGGGGTGTGGGGCTGGGGCCTTCCCAGCATCCCCTCATCCTGGGCCTCTTGCCAGGCGGTTGAATGAATTGAAGCTTTAAACTCTGCCAGGAAAACCTTTCAAAGGGCTTCTTGGGTTAGGGTGGAGAGCTCAGCTGCCCCCGCCCCCGGCCCATCCTGCTGTAGGCTCCCAGGGAGGGGGGCTGGGGGCGAGCTAGCTCTGGCCAGTGCTCAGGGGGTGGCCAGACAACGGGGACACAGCTTGTCCTGCCTCCTCCCTGTGGGTAGAGGGAGATGTGCTAAGGTTTGGGCCTTTGGCTGGCCCTGTGGATCCATGAAGCCACTGGCCACCCTGCTCTCAAAACCATTTTTCTCTTCATTGTGAAGGGTTGCCAAACACTTCCCCAGAGACCAGAATTACCGTCTCTCCCACCTACCAGGCCCTTGGCAAACTCATCCCTGTAGGCCGTCACCTTAAAGCTCCCTTTCTGATCAGCGTCCAGCTCCCATTACTCCCATTTCCCTAGAATGTGTTCCCCCACTAGCTGTTTCATTTCTGCTGTACTTCCAAAGCGGATCCGAGCCCTTGCTGGTGTGGCTCGTTGGCTGAGTGTCGTCCCATGCATTTAAAGGTCACTGGTTCGATTCCTGGTGAGGGCACATACACAGGTTGTGGTTTGGACCCTAGTCAGCACATGGTTGGAGCACATGTGGGAGGCACCCTATCAAAGTTTCTCACATTGATATTTCCCTTCCTTTCTGAAATCGATAAAAACATTATTTTTTAAAAATATATTTTATTGATTTTTCACAGAGAGGAAGAGAGAGGGATAGAGAACTAGAAATGTTGATGAGAGAAAATCATCAATCAGCTGCCTCCTGCACACTCCCCACTGGGGGTGTGCCCGCAACCAAGGTACATGCCCTTGACCGAATCGAACCCGGGTCCCTTCAGTCCCCACTCCCCACTGGGGATGTGCCCGCAACCAAGGTACATGCCCTTGACTGGAATCGAACCCGGGACCTTTTAGTCTGCAGGCCGACGCTCTATCCACTGAGCCAAATCGGTTTCAGCAGAATCATTTTTTTAAAAAAGATCCATTCTGCCGAAACTGGTTTGGCTCAATGGATAGAGCGTCGGCTTGGGGACTGAAGGGACCCGGGTTCGATTCCGGTCAAGGGCATGTACCTTGGTTGCAGGCATGTCCCCAGTAGGGGGTGTGCAAGAGGCAGCTGATCAATGACTCTCATCGATGTTTCTAACTCTCTATCTCCCTTCCTCTCTGTACAAAATCAATAAAATACATTTTTTTTAAAAAAAAGATCCATTCTGGCTCTGCTGATCCCTTTGTGAGCTGACAGATTACTAAACTGAGAACTATAAGATGGGTTGTCGGGCCAGCTCTGCTGAGCTGTGTGACTTTTAATGAATTCCTAACCTCTCCGGTCCCATCTGCTCACTTCAGTGTGTTCATCTATCGACCCTTCCAGCCAGTCTGTGCCCAGGGCCCCATGGCAAACATGGTGGCCCCTGTTCTCATAGAGTCCAAGCCCCGCCCCATGGAGGTTTGGAATAAGTTAGGACACTTGTTTCCCAATTTCAGGAACACAGGGCAGCCAAATCTGTGAGACATCCAGCAAGAGTGCTCCGAGGAAAATGTATAACCATGCTTTCCTTATTTAGAAAAGATAGGAACCTAAGCAAGCTTAATTAAAAGGATAAATCCAAAAGCAGTGACTTTTAAAAAAAATTTTTTTTTTTAACTCAAGCACTAGATTGAGGGGGTGAAGAAGAATAAGAACCAAACGGTCCAATGAGTGGTACTTAAGTTGTCCTGGGCCTTAGGGAAAGAGTGAAATTTCCAATTCATGTAAAGTGGTTTTAATATTAAAACCTAATAAAGACCCCTGGCCAGTTTGGCTCAGTGGATTGAGCATCAGCCCATGGACTAAAGAGTCACGAGTTCAAATCTGGTCAAGGTGACATACCTTGCTAGTAGTTGCAGGCTCAATCTCTGGCTAGCTCCAGTAGGGCCCGTGCTGGAGGCAACCAATTGGCATCATCAACGTTTCCTTCTCTGTGTCTCTCCCGCTCCCTTCCAACTCAAAAAAAAAGTCAATGGAAATCCCACCTGGGTGGGATCAGTGGTTGAGCCTATGAACCAGGAGGTCACGGTTCTATTCCTGGTCAGGACATATGCTTAGGTTGTGGGACTCCATCTCTGATTGTGCAGGAGGCAGCCAATCAATGATTCTCGTTATTGATGTTTCTATCTCTCCTCCCTCTCTGAAATAAATTTTAAAAATATTTTTTAGCCGAAACTGGTGTGGCTCAGTGGATAGAGCGTCGGCCCGCCGACTGAAGGGTCTTGGGTTTAATTCCGGTCAAGGGCACGTACCTTGGTTGCGGGCACATCCCCAGTAGGGGGTGTGCAAGAGGCAGCTGATCGATGATTCTCTCTCATCGATGTTTCTAACTCTATCTCTCTCCCTTCCTCTCTAAAAAATCAATAAAATATATTTTAAAATATATATATTTTTTTTAACTTGATAAAGATAGTAAAAACCTAGAAGCCAAATTATGGCTGCAATATTTCAAAATAATACCTATACATTATGTCTAAAGACTGTTAAGGGGAGGAAGGTTGTGGGGTGGGTGAAAAAGGTGAAGGCATTAAAAACAACTTAACGCACAGACAGCAGTGTGATGGTTCCCAAAGGGAAAGGGAAGGGGAGAGGTAGAAGAGGGTACAGGGCATAAATCCTAATGGAAGACTTGACTTGGCGTGGTAGACACACAAGACAATACATAGACGATATTTTATAGAATTAGACACCTGAAATCTAATTTTATTAACCAATGTCAACCCAATAAGTTGAATAAAGAAAGAAATAAAAAAGATGGGTAGGAGTAACCAAAAATATTTATATATAATTAATACTAAGTAGGGTTTATTCCAGGAGCACAAGGTTGGTTTAATAGAGAATCTGTCAACATAATTCATTACATTAACAAATGAATGAAGAAAAATAAGATCATATCAACAGATGCTGAAAGGAATTTGATTAAATTTCACCAGCCATTCTTTAAAAAAACAGTAATCGAATAATAGGAAGTATCTTAATGGTTAAACATAAGATAATTTCAACTAGAATCAAGAACTAAACAGGATGCCCACTAACAAATGGGTTTTTTTTAGGACACTCAAGGAGGGGGGGGAAATAAATAAATAAATATATATATATATTTTTTTTTTTCTTAATTTTCTACCTTTTAGATCATGTGCCTAAAAGCTCAAGCCGTATTAGAGATGTGATAGAACTGAGGGAATTTAGGAAGGTAAACAGATAATAGAGAAATATTAATGGTTTTTAAAAGCACTGAAAAAAAAAAACCCACATCCCATTAAAATAACAAAAGCAGCCGAAACCGGTTTGGCTCAGCAGTAGAGCCTCCGTCTGCAGACTGAAAGGTCCCAGGTTCGATTCGGGTCAAGGGCATGTACATTGGTTGCAGGCACATCCCCGGTAGGGGGTGTGAAAGAGGCAGCTGATTGATGTTTCTCTCTCATTGACATTTCTAGCTCTCTATCTATCTCTATCCCTTCCTCTCTGTAAGAAAATCAATAAAATATATTTAAAAATAAAAATAAAATAAATAAAATAAAATAACAAAACCAGGCCTGGCCTGGTAGATCAGTGGTTAGGGCAGTGACCCTAAATGCCAAGGTTGAGGGTTTGATCCCTGGTCAGGGCACAGACAAGAATCAAC